GCTAGTAGGTTGGAGACCATCGCTACTAGGTTGGAGACCATCGCTACTAGGTTGGAGACCATCGCTACAAGGTTGGAGGCCATCGCTAGTAGGTTGGAGACCAACGCTACTAGGTTGGAGGCCATTGCTAGTATTGGAGCAGTCTTTAGACGCCGCATAGAGCCTTCCAGGCCAGTGGGCAGCCCTGTGTGTGGTGCGGTGGAGGGCCGCATTCCCAATTCTTCTGAGTGTAGCGAAAGTGGGAAACTGGTTTCTCAGACTTTCTGAGCACCCCGTGTGTGGAGACCCTGAGGGACTGCCACTCCAGCAGCACCAACAAATGCGAACCCTATGACTTTGCAGTGAATGGAGAAGGCGATTGATAATTTTTTGTTTGCAAAGCACATTCTTGAGCAAAAACTTGTTCTCAGAGACTACAAGTTAGTGAACTTAGCTCGAACCGATGTGGAGAATCTTGACATTCTCTTTTTGTCAAGCGTTGTTTCAATGGAGTCCTGCCAAGTTGTTCATTCGTTTTATCCTGGATGCGTGTGAGCTGTAAATGAAACACGCGATTGCGCAAATTGTTGTTATTCATGGCAGAACGAGAGACATTTTTGTCACAGTTGTCCAGGGCATGCCTTCAATACCTTCCACGCCTGGAGCCAGTGTGATGGGAGGAAACTCACAAACTGAAGTGGAATCGTTTGAGGCTGTTGGCACTTACAAGATGGCTGCTTGCGAGGCGGTTCACTGTAAAATGCCAGCACCATTGAAACGTTATCCAGACTCAATTCGAGGTGACGTGAAAATAGTGTCTTTTCGATTTTTTTTACTTGATGCATGTCTGACAGGGTGGAAGTCCAGCAGTGCACTTCTTGAACAGCGGCTTCTCGGAGCATGGTACCTCACTGCAGGTGCCATAAGCATAAGGAGTAAAGAGGGAAAGTGGATCTCTTCGGCTTCTGTGCAAACTTGATTTCCGTGCGGGTTATCAATCAAAACAGACAGCCTCTCACCAGGTGCAATGCGGCTCTGGACCAGCTCCAGTGTGGGCAAAGGTTAGCAGCGAGCTCACACTGCGATCATAAATGAGCATTGATTCACGAAAACTAGTGTTAGCTTTCTGAGTTTGTCCTTGCTTTAGCAAGGGAGAGAGGCCTGAGGCCAATGGAACTCCCCCCTTCTCCCCCGCCCCCCCCACTCAGCGGTCGTGACATGCTTATAGGAAGCGATATGATATAAAGGCTTCTTCCGCCGTTGCGGGTACTCATCGCTGATTCTTTGAAGACGGATTCCACAGTGACATACTTTTGCAACCGACACTGACATTCAAACTTGGCATGCAACGAGATTTGCAAAACGTCCTTGCACAGAGCTGCCTTGTTTAGGCCGAACTTGCGGCGAATGCACTGTGAACGTGCCAAACATCAAGGTTTCCATATGTGCTTGTTTGCATTCTGATTTGCATCATCATCATCATCATCATCATCATCATCATCATCAAAACTGACAGTTTGAAGTAGCACGCTTGTCAGGAGTTCTACTACACTTGCGCTGGCTACTGCAAGTACCAACCTGGCCTGGAGCCCAGAAATATGAGTTTCAAGAGGCTCCTCCAATGGAGGCTCCAGTTGGGACAAGCCTCCCAGGCTCACCGCAGTGCGTTGGCGCCTCCATCGCCTACCACCCAAGCTCTTGCGACATTAAGCCCGATTGCTTGGCAACTTCAGCAGATGTTTCACAAAGTCCCAATTGAAACTGTGTGGTGAACATGAAAGCCGGTGGAAATAACATGAAATCACCTAGGATGGGAGCATCATGCGACTTCAAGTTCAACGATGCCTGGAACCTGGAATCAGAGCTGCGAATCCACAATCTGTAGAATGGCCATTGACCAGAAAGGCATGCGGTCATATATAGAAATATATTATATTTTTGTTCCCTGGCATTTGTGCTGAACTTTTGGACATTGGACAATTAATATTTGCACCTGATCAGGAACAGGATGCGATTTGCCAATGTGAGAAGGCTGGGGCTTGTTATCCTCTAAGTAACTGAGTGGTATTGCCATTGCGTGGAGAAATATTTCAATCCGTTTTCAGGTGTTGCTCCCTCACGAGAAGATCCAAGCGCTGCAGGAAGCCCAGAGCGGCGCTTTTTGCTTCACCTGTTGCATCGCTTCGTTGCGGTACAGTAACCGTCTTCTGCAAGGTATGCTCAGTGCGGAGGTAAAGAGTGGAGAGGCTTCACACAATGTGAGGCTCTGAAAAGACTTCTCTGACTATTCACCTTGAAGTCAGTGCTTTCTCTTTAGTCACGACAGACCCTTTTCCTTCAGTCTTCCTTGCTCCTTTTTCTGTTTGAAGGGAAGGGAATTTGTGTTTGAGCTGGATGTGGGATGGAGCCACACAAGCATCTTCGCCGAGCCTCAAAGCATCTCCACGCACAGTGGGAAGGGATCACTGTTCTCCCTTATTTACTCCATTTGGTAAGCTGCATCTCCTGGGAGGCTGGAGCAACGTGCAACGTTTGAATCCGAGAGAGCAAGAGTGAGAGCCAGAGCGAGAGCGAGAGCGAGGGAGTGAAAGAAGCATAAATCTTTGAAAAAAATTGAGAAAGCTCTCATTATGCTGATAGAGAAATAGGCTCTTGATTTAATGCTGGCAAAGATTTCGCACTCTGAGATCGTCGATGAGTGGTACTCGCAGTGCGTGCCTATTTTGGCGGCTTGAGCCTCGGACACATGCAATTGAACTGTAATGTCCAGGGTCAATATCATGGGCTGTGGCTCCAATCACAAGTCGCGTGACCTCCCACCCTGTTGCCACATTTTTGCAATTCTTTTTTTTGCCACTCGTTGCTTCATATCGAGAGAGTCGTCAGATGTTTTTGTCAGAGATTAATTTGAGACACCTTTGCGAACAGTTCATTCCAGTGTCATGTTACGTCGCGCAAAAGGCCAAGCCTGGTGTCAAGTTTACCAGCGGCGAAGCTGAGTTGGCACGTGACTGAGGGCGCAAGTGATCATGGAGAACAAGAAGAAGTTGTTTTAACTCCTACTTCTAGATTCTAGCAGATTGAAAGTCATCCGAACATCACTGAGGCGGCTGCAAATGCGCCTATTGGCGTTGGGGCACTCAGGAATCTGCAAGATGCTCCCAAGGGGTTAGCCTATGCCAAGCCCGAACTCCACGCCAGCCCGCTGCTGGCAACTACAGGAAAGAGAAGCCAAATGGGTCGAATGTGTTCAACACCACATGGTGCAAACAGATGCAAGCGTTGTGCTTTTTCTGAATTGTTTCGGGGTGAGTAGAACAGTGTGTATGTTATGTTATAAAGTCGTTGCACGCGACAGACTTGTATTGGGTTTGCAGCTGGATTACAATGTTTGATTTGTCTCGCCAACAGCGTTCAATCCATCGTTTTGGTAGTTGAATAGCTAAACTCTTGAGCTTTGTGATGTATAACACTTGTTGAGACCTGAAGTGGTGTCCTCTAAGGACGAAGAAGAGCTCGGCGCTGGCCCTGCTTTGGGTGCTACTGCCGCGGTGGCTGGAGTCACTGCAGTTGGAGCCGCAGCTGGAGCAGCAGCTCCTGTGACGGGGGCCATGTCCCCTGAGTGTTCAGCCCACCCCAAGTGTGCGGAACTGAAGCCGAATCCTTGGAAGCCGTGAAGCTTGTTGATGCTTTTTGAAGCCAGAAACTGGTTCATAGATCTTGACGGCTTTCTTCTTGCCTTTTTTTTTTTGGAACTTGCCTGGATTGCCTCTGCGGTTGAGGCTGACAGGGAATTGCTGCCCGAATGACGCTGCTGCCAGATACCTGAACCCAAATTGGCAACGTTCCTCTTGAGTCGAAATTCTGGTTGAAACGCCGCTTCTGCCGTTTTTATTTTCTGTGTCGCCTTTGCCTGAGGCTGTTCTTGGTTGCTGCACAAACTTTGACCCCACCGCCTGGATCTCGGAAGAAACCTGAAGTTCTGACTCTAAATGCAAGTAACTTTGCTGGCAGAATCTCATTTCAATGACAGAACGTGACATTTCAAGTGTGTCCATGAGTGCCACACTGCAATAAACTTTCTTTAAGTCCTATTTTTAAATTCATTCCTTGCCAGGCTGCTGTGGCAGCTGTGACTGTTGCCCCAACCTCGTCAGTGTGAACCTCAAGTATTGAGCCAACCTCGGCATTCGCCGAAGTAGTGAGGGAGTGGAACTACGTTTTCTTCCAACTTCTTCGTGCATTTTTGAGAAGCACTAGGAGCAAGGATGCTGCTAGGAGCAAAGGGCATCGCTACTAGGACTAGGAGCAAGGACACTACTAGGAGCAAAGGGCATCGCTACTAGGGGCTCCTGGCATCGGTAGATTCCTTGGACCAGTTGAGATGCCAGGATGTCGAGGTGGGAACGATTGCACCTTTGGCAACACCAGCTCCAGCGGCAGGGCTCTCATTATCGCTGAACCATGCTGAGCCTAGTATGAGTCGTTGAGGCATGTCATATTTATCAGTGAGTGCTGAATGGGCTTGTTTGAGGACCAGTCCTATTGGAAGGATCCCATGGAGCGTCCCACGGAGGCCGAGCTGTTGTGTCCCACAGTGCTGGTGAGTGGCTGTTGTGTGTTCTGTGTTGCACCAAGGCCGAGCTGTCCTGCTTGCCTGCGGAGCCAAAGGGCTGCAGTGCCTTGGACGCAAACTTGGGTCAGTCACATGGTGTGGAGGTGTAGCATCACACGGAGTTCGTGGAGTTCGTGGAGTGAAGGGCCAGTGAAGGGCTCCTCTAAAGTTGAAAGCCGAGGTTCCATCCGGGACAAGCTCATGTGCCTCAGTCCTTGGCTTGGTGATGCTTAGACAGCCAGTGAAGTTGATTGAAGTGAACATACGTCTATGTTCCATGTGTACACGTGACATTTCCCCAATAATCTAGGAAGCAAATCGTTAAGGCTCAGGCTTCTTGAAGGAAGCCCCCCCCGCCCTCGGGTGGGGGAAGCTTCCTTGAAAAAAGCCTGAGCCCTTTTGCGTCCAAGCCCAGCAGCGTTACTAGGGCTAGCAACTTAGCTACTTGTTGGCTCACTTCTCGGCCTAAAGGAACAAACATGCTTGTACCATGCTTGTACCACTCAGCTAAGACTCAGCTAAGGCCGAGTCGATGGACGAACCGGTTACAAGGTTCATGGATTGAACGTTGGCGGAGAGCCTTGCGTCTGGTGCGGCGGCGGGCCCGGGCCTCGGGGCGGTCCAACTGAGTGAGCTTGGCCACCCCGGCTTCCTGGGAACTAGTAAGTCACCGAGTCACCAATGGCAGGCAATGTACTGTAGTCACCAAAGTGAGTTGTTGGGGTGATTTTTTTGGGGTAGGCGCATGGCAGCCAGTCTGCCACCTCTATCAAAATCCGATGAAGTGAATTTGCTGAAGACCAAGGGCTTGTACCGACTTCAGCGATGCAGTTTGCGAGCCCTATGACTGGCTCATCCATGGCACTGGCAAGGCTGTCTTGATTTCAGTCAGAATCTTTTCTCCCCAAAAGTCGCAGAAACAGTGGACGACAGATGTTCCCACACACCCACGAATGAAGACCGACAAATGAAAGGAAGACTGAGCAAAGACGATTTTGAACAAACAAGTGATTGGACGCCATTAGGTAGGAGGCCATCACTGGTAGCTAGTAGGTTGGATGCCATCGCTAGTAGGTTGGAGGCCATCGCTATTAGGTTGGAGGCCATTGCTAGTAGGTTGGAGGCCATCAGTAGTAGGTTGGAGGCCATCGCCATTAGGTTGGAGACCATCGCTAGTAGGTTGGAGGCCATCGCTATTAGGTTGGAGGCCATGCTAGTAGGTTGGAGGCCATCGCCGCGCTATTAGGTTGGAGGCCATCCCTATTAGGCTAGTAGGTTGAAGGCCATGCTAGCAGGTTGGAGGCCATCGCTATTGGGTCGGAGGCCATGCTAGTAGGTCCGAGGCCATCGCTATTCACGTCGCTTCGCGACGGTAACCGCCTGCACCGCATGGGAGGGCTCAAAGACTGCAGTCATGCTCCAGGAACGGGTCAAGGTAGGTACTTCCATTGAACATAGCCCCAGAAGTCACACCCCCCCCGAACGTGGCCGAACATAGCTTCCATATTGCCTAACATAGCGCTAGAATGTGGGAATGTCGCAAATTGGTGTATCTTTTCCGCAGGTAGCTCGAGACGTTCACCGGATATTTGGCTCAACAGGAGCAGAGATAAGGAACGGTAACATTTTCTAACGAGGGCTCAAAAGGGACTGGAATAAAGTAAAGATATTGCCTAACATAGCTCTAAAAGTCACTATCTAAAGGACATGTCTGCGAGATAGGGACGTGAACGTCGTAAACATAGCCCAACGAGGGCTCAAAAGGGACCGGAACAAAGACCCCCCTAACGTGACCAAACATAGCTTTTTCCAGGAACGGTAAGATTTTCTCACGAGCATAGCTTGCATATGGTCGAACATAGCCCCAGGAATCACTATCTCAAGCATGCTTCCTCGAGATAGGGACTTGAACGAGGGCTCAAAAGGGGAGCCTGTTCAGCCAAATGTCCGGCCTCAGTCCAATTACA